TTACAGGTAGTCCCCACTTTGCGATCTATACTGGGACTAGAATTCCATTGCTAAGTGAAGTGGTCATTAAAGGAAATATTATGTGACTACCCCAGTAGCAACAGCAGTTCTTTCAATTTCGGTTGCAGTTACTAAACAAATCGCCCCTCATCATATAAGTGAGACATCACGTCACCACAACATGTAACCTCCTGACACCTTCCCCATTGGCTTTGCTTGTTGGAAGCTGATTGGGAAAGCGACAAATGGTGATCACATGACAATCAGATGCTGAGACCATCATAAATGTGGAACAGTTGTCAAGTGCCTGATGTCAAGGATGAAATTTTGGCAGCTACATGCCTCTGCATTTCAACTTGCCTTTAAAGTGAGGGGGAAAGTTGTTATTTTCGAGTGGGTGAGATGGAGAAACGAAACTTCTACAATTCTGCTGACGACCGTGAGAGCTTGAAACCTTTTCAAGGGTACTATAACAGATGTGAATTTGAAGCAGACGGTTTCCATAACAAGGTGAACTTGTTTATATGGACTACGTAAGACGTTGGGGGTTTGACTGGGAAAATTATTGTTTAAGTCTATGAATTGGTGTTGGAACCTCAGAGTTAGTTTTGCTTCAACGTTACCGTGCAGGGTGTTCAATAAACAGTAAGATGTTTGGAGATGGAATGAATCTGGAGTTTTATTTGGATTCTTGAGCTGGATGTTGATACTGGAATTGTGATTACATGATTGCAAGGATGTTCATGGGTGCACAGACTGGTTGTAAGTCACTTTCTTCAATGCTGCCATAAGTTCAAGCAGTAGTTAAAGGAATGGTCCTTAGACAAGGACTTCCTGTATTCATCAGCTAATTACCTCTCTCTTTGTCCTGCTGCCCCATAAAAGAAAATAGATTTTGTTAGCTAGGCAGTACTGCAAACAAAGTTAAGGCAGTTATTCGTGCGAAATAGAACGTTCTTACAATGCTCAAAGCTGACCTATGTTATAGATCCCTAATTAAGGAAACCCTGTAACAAAGAACCTTGTTTACTATGCACTTCCGGTGTTTCTCCGAAGCATGCAGGAACAGTTCATCAATTGGCCACAAGATGGCACTCTTAGTAAAGACTTTAACGTCCACCTTTGGTGGTGCTGAAAAGAAAAAAAAAATGTGTTCCTTGAAAAAGAAGCATGACTCCCATTTTTCCAGCGTGTCACACCGTTCGGATGGCACTGAGGTTCTTTCCCTGTCCCAAGCGAACTCCTTCTTTGCGGAGAAAAGCTGCGGCGGCGGCCTCTCGCTCCAGGAAAGCAAAGTACCAGCTCAGCAAAACTCGAGTTGGGGTTGCCTTGAATGCTTTTCCAGCCCAGAGCGCCGTCGCCACAGGCTCCTGCCTTGACCACTTCAGCCAGCAGCCCCCGCCCCCACCGCCGCCCAGGATCCCGGAGCCCTAAACAATGGGTGGATTGTGCAAGATCAACCCGGCACTGGCTTTCTTGCTGAGAGCTCCCTAGACTCTTGGCTCCGGATGTGCCAAATATAAACCGCGCAGTAAAGCAAACGAGAAAGTCCAGAAACCGAGTTGGGGAGGGGGGGAAGGGGGAACAGGAGAAGATCGGCCGAGCAGGGTGAATTCCACACATCAAATCTAGGCAGAGAATTGTTACTTTGAAAGGCATTCGTGGCTTCCCTCCCCCCTCACCACCACCAAAAGAGTTTTATAAGAAAAAGCTGAATAGAGTTCTGAACCTTGCACAAAAAACTCTTTCCCTCCAGGGCGTCTTTAGGGCCAAATTCTCCTTAAACCACTTCGACCACTTAAGCCGAAGTAGTTACCAGTCAGAACGTATGGATCTGACTCCCCTTTTCACTCTATAAGATCTCCACCCGAATCCTGCGCCCGACCTCTCGCCTAAGCCAAGGGGTCGCCAGGCTCGAAATAAATGCTAGGCTAACTCTGTCTCCGCTGCTCGATTTCCCTCTTAAATCTCCCTTCTCCCTAAAAGAAGCAGGTCGAGGGTTCAGCCTGAATCCAACCTTATCCCATCAGGGAGCTTCGCGTCTGCCGGACGAAAAAGCCTTTTCTGAAAGTTTGAACCCCTGAACTCTGGTCTCCCCAGTGCGGCTGCATCCAAGCGGCTGAGATTAGCCGCAGCTGGTCATTGGGAGTTCAAGTGCGCCTATCAGAAGTCTGTTAAAAACAGCTTGTTCCAATGTGGCGCCCTTCAGTTGGGTTGGAAGGAGAAATCTCCAGGTGCCCATTCAGCAAGCGCCCTCCCACCTGTAAGGCACCACGCTGGGGAAAGTTGAATGTGAATATCGGTGCAGGCCAAGGGAGCGATCCTTTGCATTTGTGCTCTGGATTTTAGTAGCTGGCTTCTGTCCCACCTTCCTTTCTTGTGTTGGTTGGCACATATTCCCTTCGCCAAATTTTACGACTTTCGTGGTTTCCCCCCGTCTCTCATCTGCCCCATCCTACCATTAAAAGCCTTCCTCTCCGACTAAAAGGGTGCGAAGTGGACATCTCAATAAATTTCGCCCTAGTAAAGTGGACTGACCGTGGATCGGCGGGTGGGTGCCTGTGCGTTTGGTAAAGTGATTTGCCATTTATTTAGTGATTCCTGTAATTAAACGATTAGGGATTTGCTTAATGTGATTTTATAAGGGATGCGCCCGTTTCCAAAGCAAACAAGGCGCTCGAGTCTCCTGCACACGAAGCAAACTCACAAGACCGCAGTTACCGGGTCTTTGCAGAGCAAACAGTCCTAAATCTGGAGAATAAACAGTTCGCAAAAGAATCTGTCGCTCCAGGCCATTCAAAACAGTGCCGGATTTGTTTGCCTGACTTGGGGGGGGGGTTGAAAACACACACACACACACACACACACACGTCTATCACCTTCATTTCTCTCTCCTCACCCCTCTTCCAAGGTATCTGAAGCGCTTTCAGAATCGCTGTCCAAACCTCACGTTGGAGAACATGAGTGATCATGATGTCTCTAAGGGGAAGGGATGATCCTACAGCAGTGGCTGGATGTCCCACCAATTTTAGCCTAGAAAGTCAGTGGAGAGTGATAAGAATTGTATTCAAGTATATTTGAAGACAAGTCACAATCCCAGCCCCATTTCTTCAGCACAGCAATTGTGGATTTTGGTTAGGCAATCTCCATAGTAGGTAGGAAATGCCAGTTTTTTGTGCTTCTTTAGAAGTTGTTCCTCCAACTGCAAAGGATTCCTGATGATTGTGCACAGATCACTATATAAGCAGACCACTTCGCTATTGAAAAACAAAAAAATCCAGCTATTGAAGGCTAACACTTTTGGAGAGTATGAGGTTGGGGGAAGATTGCTTGGCTGTGAAATGATAAGAACTGTAGTCCAATGTACAAGGAGAGTGGAGAAAGTCATCTTGAAAAAGAAGAAAAGCTGCAGCAGGGACTTTAAGACAATAGCAAGGGAGCCATTGACTAGGAGGCGGGGAGGAAAAAGCTGAAGACTGAAACCTACAGTAGCTATTGGTGGTGGTCAACTGCTATAGCCAGATCTCTGGTAGATGAGGGTTTCTGTCTTCCTTGCAGCAAAGCAGCTAATCTGGGAAACTATTTCTGCTGCTGAATACTGGAGAGTAAATATTTATTGCCATGCTGGGTGAAGACCGGCAATGAGGAGAAGGAAGAGGAGGGAGGCGTATAGAAATTCAGGTGTATACATTTGAAAAATGACTGTTATTTGGAGGAGGTGAAAGTTTTCCCACACTACGTGATTCTCCACTAGAAGCCCACCTGTGCCTTTCTTCATGCCCATCTCAAGTTGAAGTAGGAAGGTTAGGAGCCCAGCTGACCTCAGTAAGCCAAGGCTGGCGATTCCAGAGATGGGTTTGTCTTTACACCAGTGTCACTGAGGTCTTTTCTTGGAAACATTTCCTGAAAGAAATGGTGTCATTGGATTTTTACAAGCTGATTTGATAAAAAAAAGTTTCCTGAGATCTACAGTGAAATAGAAAGTATTTCATGCAAGCTGGGTCTTTGCTCAAATTGACTCCAAAATAAGACACAAATATAGCATTACATTACAGCACTGAAAATATGATCAGTGAAATGAAACTTTGATCCATTTAACAGAAATTTCCATGACTTATTTAATACTTGGGAATAAATTATTGAAATTGTCCCAAAGACTCTGTGGAGTCCCTTGTTATAATATTCCCTCAGAGCCTTGCTGTTACCCTCACGATTAGCCCCATTCTGCGGATAGGAAAACTGACTAGGAGAGTCAGAGACTTGTCCAATTTGTCTGTAGGAAATAAAAATTTATTTCAGATGTGATTCCTTTCTACCTGCAGTCCGTATATCCTGTTGTATGCATTTGTGCCTTTAGTTTATCTCTTTATTTTATCTCTTTATCTCTTCACCTCTTTCAAGACCCACTAATTTCACATTTGCCAAGAACACCCAAGGGAAGGATGAAAGCTTCTACGCATTGCCTGAGAACTGACGCACGCCTCGTCCACCCTCGTTACTTGAACCTGGTAAGACAGGGGCCAAGCATTCACACGTGGAGAGAGGGAGAATTCCCCAAGGCGCTATTTTCCTCCTTGTCTGTAAATTGCACAAACTTGATGGTTCCGTGCTTTTAAACGCCATTTCTGCCCCTCCCCCCACCCCGCCGATGGGCTGCAAGGCTCAGAACCCCGAGATAATGGTGACGTTCGAATGCCCCCCCTTCCTTTTTTTTTTTTTTTTTAAAGGGAGCGTGAGTGGGACTCTCAAAGGAAGCCAAGCCAGCAGAGCGCTTTGTTGTGCTAAACTAGTTGGGCGAGTTAGGGTGTCGCTGCTCCTGATTGCTCTGGCCAATGGAACCCGATCCACCCCGCTGTGCGTAAGAGCGCAATTAAGGATTTAACCAAGCCTCTACGCTCCCTGCGAGCAGTCTGCCAGAGCTATAACCAGCTCCAGAGAGCTCCCAGCCGTCGCCGCCGCCGCCGCCGCCTCCCTCTCTCCCTCCCTCCCTCCCTCCCTCGCTCCCCCCGCCATGGCTGCCTAGAAGACCTAGCCGCACGCACGCCGCTTGCCTGCCATCCTGCCTGCCAGCCAACTATGACAGGGGTCTTTGACAGAAGAGTGCCCACCATCCGATCCAGCGATTTCCAGTCCCCCTTTCCGAGCAGCGCAACGGCCGCCACCATGCACCACCCGCCCCAAGAGTCGCCCACTTTACCCGAGTCTTCGGCAACGGACCCCGACTTCTACAGCTCGCCAGGAAGCGCCCCGCACGGCTACGCTTCGCCTTCCTCGGCATCCTACGGCAAAGCGCTCCATCCTTACCAGTACCCCTACCAGGGCATGAGTGGAACCGCCGCCAACTATCCCGCCAAAGCCTACGCCGAGTACAGCTACGCCAGCCCCTACCATCAATACAGCGGGTCTTACCCTAGGGCCCCGAGTACTGCCAGCCAGCCAGGTGAGAGGCGCCGCCGGCGGCAGGGGATGGGGGGCGGGAGAGCAGTGCTTAGACAGGCCGAGGGGCGCACCCGAAAGAGCTGGAGCTGCAGGTAGGGGATGCAGCGCTCCTCTCGGCCGTCTGGGGACGGCGTGGAGCTTGAGCTTGGCCGGGAACCGTCTCCCCAGCCCTGCCCGATGCCTTGCTCCCGCTGAAAGATTCAGGTCTGGAGGGTGAACTGAGGTGTGTGTGTGTGTGTGTGTGTGAGAGAGAGAGAGAGAGAGATGGGGGGGCGGATGGAGAGAAATAAGCTTTCTTTGACGCCCCCAAAGTCAGGATTGAAAGGCAGCGACTTTGGAAAATGGAAAGTGAGGGAATCAAAGGTTCCCCCCCCCCAAGGGCCACGCATCAACATTAACGACAAAACGAGTGCGGCTGTGAAAAGTTGGGCCATTCGGTGTACAATTTCAAACCCCTGCCCCACATCCATGTACCCATTTTTTTTTTATACCGCAAAGGGATTGGAAATCCTGAGCCCTCCTGTATTTTTTGCCTGAAGACGGGCTAAGTTGGGGGAGCAAATGGGGAGGCTCTTGTTTGATCTTTTTCCCCCTCTTCTTCTCCTTCCGGTGGGAGGAGGGGGAAGGGAGGGAAGGTCTCCTGAATAGCGCTAATATGAACGCCCAAATTCGGATGCTGGTTTGCTCCCACACACGGAGAAGAGCGGTTGAAACTGCTTCCTTGTGGTTCCTCGGGAAGCAGACTCAAGGAAAATGAAGCGCTTCTTTGGAGGCAGCTCGGAATTCTTCCTCTCCGCCACCACTCACCCCCCAACCCCCACCCCGGCCCTATTCTGCGAATCAAAGGCGAGGAAACTTTTGCGGCTGCCGCATCGCTTTCCCTGTACTTTACTCGGAATCTATACATAGCTACGAGTCTTTCTGTATGTGCGTATGTTTATATGTATGTATATACACATACAAAGAGAGAGAGAGAGAGAGAGAGAGAGAGATTTCTCCCTTCTCTGACCACCACCCTGGTATTTCTGTGTATTTCTTCGCCTGGCCGAAGGTCTCCTCAAAATAGAGGAAAACTGCCAGTGGCGCACTGAGTCTTCGTAAAAGGAACCAGACGCAACCGCGCCTCTCCTCTCCCCCCACCCCACCCCCGGCCGATCGGCGGCGAGATTATTCTATATAATCGGCTCTCTGTCTGGGCCGGATTTGGCTACTTTCGGCTCAGATGGAGGGAGACGCTCTCTTCCTTTCTTTTCCTTTTTTTCTCCCCGCGGTGGGGGCTTTGCACTCTGCACATCTCAGAATGCACGAGGCTCCCAGTCAAAGGAAGGGAGAGGGAGGAAAAGGTCGAGGTGAGGAGAAAGCAGGAACGTGGCTGGGAATACTGCAAACTTTTGTGTAATCAAAGGGCTGCTTTAAGAGGACTTTTTTTTTTAAAGCCCACCACTTCTCTCCAGCTCGCGCCCCTCTGCCACTCAGTCCCTTCCTTCCTTCTTTCACTAAAACGCTTAGCCAGATAAATAATATCCCGGGGGAGAATATCTTCCGGCATAGGAGAGGACGCCTGTCCTCCCCCGATTTAAAATTGGCAAGAGATTTGGGCCTGCCAGTCCGTTTCCGCACCTTCCAGATCTTCCAGGGTCTCTGGCAGGCCAAACTCGTTGCATTTGTTTACACATTTGAGCCAAGTCCGGGTCAGCAAGACAATTGCGGGCCCATCTGCCAGATTCGGGGAAGGGGGCGTGGTGCCCAGTTTTCATGGCCATCTCCTCCTCCTCTTCTTCCTCCTCCTCCTCCTCCACTTCCTAAGCCTGTTTTTTTTTCCCTCTCCTTCCCTACCCCTGTAGAAAAAGAGGTGGCTGAACCCGAGGTGCGGATGGTGAACGGCAAACCAAAGAAAGTGCGAAAGCCAAGGACTATTTACTCGAGTTTTCAACTGGCAGCTTTACAACGGAGGTTCCAGAAAACCCAGTATTTGGCTCTGCCCGAGAGAGCCGAGCTGGCCGCTTCTTTAGGCCTGACGCAGACTCAGGTAAGGACCGGCGGTCGGGGCCTGGGGCTCCTTCTTCTCTCCCGGTGGGCGAAGCGTCCTGAGGAATCCCACCTTCGGCGCTGCTCTCCAAGGAACAACTTCACGTGCTACGGGGCTGAGCAATCCGGATTTCCCTTCCCCCCCCCCCCCGAGGAGCTTGTGGGGTATTTCTGTAGGCCCGAAGGCACGGGAGGGGGGAGGGCAGGGGAGGGAGAGCGCGTGTGCGGCCGTGTGTTGGATGTTTATTCGTTTAATCTTCCGCCTGAGCATTTTTCCCTGCGAGATTTCTGGTGAATCCAACTTCCCCGCCAAACGGGCGCCCTTTTCCGCCGTCAGCGGCATCAGCCAGATCCCTTTGAGGCGGGGAAGAGGATCTTAAGGCAAATTCAGAAAGCTGTGCCTGAGTGGAAATTAACCGGGCTTTACTTCGGCGCAGTTCCGACTCAGTTCCCAAGCGCTTTGTTTACAGACCCGATTCCCTGCATTCGAGGGGCGTGTGGTTTTCAATAGTCCCCGAGCTTTCGGCCTTCTCGGACAAAAGGGGCTAAGGGGTAAGGTGGGAGGATCTTCTACTGATCAGCTCAAGGGAGGCGGGGGAGGGGGCGGCTTGTCAGAGAGCTACGGAGGACCGTGGTGGGGACTGCTGTGGAAGCTTGGATCCCACACAATGGGTTTATACGTGCACCAGGTTTTAGTTCCGCTTTGTTCGGAGTAGTGTTCAACCGGTGTCCTCTTTTCGTTTAATTTTTTTTTTTTTGTTCCCTGTCCTGTTTTCCTCTCCCCACCCTCCATGTTTTCAAAACTATTTGGGGCAACTGCTCTACCGGTTTAAAAATCTTCCCCGTGTCCAGAGACTCGGTAAAAGGCCTGTCATTCTATATTGTATCCCATTTTTAATATTATAAATGCCATTCCTTTAAGGATTTTTTTTTTATTTTATTTTTTTGCATTTCGTATTTTCCGTGCGTGTATTTGGAATAATAAAAAAATCTTCGTTTTCCTTATTGTCTCTAATTCTCTGGCCCCGTCCGGGGACTGTGTGTTGGCCTGACCGGGTCTCGATTCTGCCCGATAGAAGGAAGGGAGATTTAAGTCTTAGTCCCGTTGGAAGGCCAAGAGGCCTTTTGCTCAACTCGCGTTATGCTCCTTAAAAGCTGCTGCCCTGAATTCTCTCAGGGCACTCTTCACATTCTCACAGTCCCTTTGCTGGCGTAGGTGCAAATCTGTGTGGGATTGTTGCCCGTCTAGCCGCCACGTACTTAACCATTTCCACTTTCTCTGAAGTAAGGGCGTTGCTCGCGACCGGACGTGTGAAGGCAAAGCTCGAGAAGCTGAGACCGTAAACCGACTGATTAAGGAGGGCACCTGAGCGGCATCCCGCCGGTTAAGTCCAGGCTGAGAGAGAAGATCTCCGGAGGGAGGGTCCGGTCAGCCTTTTCTTTGCATTTGTGCTTGTCCACTGGGATCAACCCTGCCGTCCCTCTCTGACTTTTGCCGCCTCTTTTTCCTTCTCAAGGTGAAAATCTGGTTCCAGAACAAAAGGTCCAAGATCAAGAAGATTATGAAAAATGGAGAGATGCCTCCGGAACACAGTCCCAGCGCCAGCGACCCGATGGCTTGCAACTCTCCACAGTCCCCCGCCGTGTGGGAGTCGCAGGGCACGGCCAGATCTCTTAGCCACCACGCTCACGCTCACGGGGCAACTTCCAACCCGTCGCCCGCATCCACCTACCTGGAGAACTCCTCTTCCTGGTATTCCGGGGCAAACGCCCTGAATGGCCACCTGCAGCCCCACGGCTCCCTCCAGCATTCCTTAGTGTTGGCTTCCGGGACAATCTATTAGAACGGGCGATCCTTTTTTTTAAAAAAAAAACCCCATCATTCCTTCCTTTTTTGTTTTGGACTCAATTGCTTTTGTTCATGAAGGGAAATAATAATAATAATTAATAATAATAATAATAATATTAAAACAGGGGAACTTCTCTTTAAGGAAACTATAACAGGATGAAATGTGTAAAGCTTGTGCATGTAATTTATTGCATTTCAAAGGAAACTCACCCTCCCTCATTGCTTTTGTTACGTTTTCTTTTATTGTTCAAGAGGGCTGGAATTGCGTTTTGTTCTCAGCAGCCTGGACACTTTCAAAGGTGCCTTGAAATCTTATGACCTCAACTTTTTTCAAGAGACTTTTTTCTCAATGTCATTTTAATCCTGTACATATTTGTAGATAGAGGAATTAAACTGTATATTCTGAATAAATAAAATTATTTCCACTGTGAGGACAAAATAGGAGAAAGAGAGATATGAAATGGCAGGTTGCCATTTTCCCCCCTTCCACTTATCGAAATGAAGTGGAGGGCACTTAATAACTGTTTGCTCCTTCCATCCCGCACCCTTTTCTTCCTTTGCCATTCTTCCTTTGTTTAGATTGCAATCCCATGACCGGTTATTTAGAAGCAGCCCCGGCTTACATCTTCCTAAACTGAAATTCAGAGCAGTTCTCTGCCTCGTCCAGGTTCCTCATGGGTTGGGTCCCGGTCCTGCCCTCCCCCTCCGTAGAGCGGTTCCGAGGCTCCGATAAACTCCCGCAATCTTTACCGAGGTCTTCAAATCTGCCAGTAAGTCTGGTAGGTTTGGAGAAGGGGGGGGGCTAAAGCAATGCCCTTAGCCTGCTCTGCTGAATGAGAGAGCAAAGGCGAAACTTTTCCCAAGAAAAACGACCCTGAAAGGGGGGGGGGGCTGGTCTGGGTCTGAGTAAGAACATAAATATTTTCCCTTGGATTTCTGCTTCCTTGTATTCTCCTGAATTTTCGAGGAAAAGCCAGAAATAATACGGTAGCTGGTCAGTGCAGGACGATGCGTTTCCTCCGAAAGGAACTCCGAAACTGGGCAGTAGCAGGTCGAGAAGGTGGCACGGAGCCTCTAAGCCTCGGCTGGAAACAAAGGTGATCTGCGAACAGGGCCCGATTTGGGCGCAGGCGCCTTTGTCCCGTCTCTCCCTTTGCGCCCTCCTCTTCGCGCCACCAGTCCCGAAACTGAGTCGTAATCGGAACCTGGGCAGGGTGGCTGAGGAAGGAGCGGGTTTATTTCTGGACTCTTGCACCACCCCACAAACCAAGCGTGTCCAAACAAACAGTGCTGGGGTCGAAGTAGGCAACTAGCAGGGGGGGCTGGGGGGGTCGTGCCTTGTGCATCAACACACAATCCTTTCTTCTCCCCCTTCAGCACTTATGTCGACAATAAGGCGGATAATAAGGCGTTACTTCGAAACCCCCTTCATTCATGTGACAAAGGGTGCTCTTTTTATAGTAGTTTGGGTTTGGGAGTCGTTTTCACGTTGGAAAGAAAGTTGGAACATGAAGAAAATTCATTAAAAAAATTACATCCTGTCATCTGAGGAGTTCAGCAAGATATGTTTCAGGACTTGGACACAAAACCTCAGAAAAGACTCGTTTTGTGGCCGGAGCAAATTTATCTGCCTTTATGCTCCTCCCTCCCTCCCTCCCTCCCTCCTTCCTTCCTTCCTTCCTTCCTTCCTTCCTTCCTTCCTTCCTTCCTTCCTTCCTTCCTCTTTCAATTTTGGCTCCCATCAGCAGGAGAAATAGTATTATTAGAATTAAGTTCCTTTGAAATATAGAATTTGACTTTCCCTAGTTTATATAAAACCAAAATAAGATTGTTTGCTTTCCTTGATACTCCTATGCCTGAGGATGTGATGCAGAACCCAACATAGAATATCCTGCTGTTTTAATCTGATCCCTTCCTACAAAACGTTGTTCACGTGCTCATCCCTGCAGTCTTCTTAGGAGCGTTTTTGCTCCGGGCATTAGTACCACTCACCTCACCTATTCTTTGCCCTTTAGACGACGTTACACTACTGACTCTGCTGAGGGCGGACGCAGCGAGCAATGCTGAGAGACACAAAGCAGATGTTAGGAATCATGGGAATTGTACTCCTCTGACATATAAAAAGGGATTCAACCTATATTTTGCAGCTTTAGTTTGGTTAAGGGTTCGGGCTTATGCGTGCTAATAAAACCGCTCAATGTCGACCTATAACATTGCTCACTTGCCATTAAGGTGACCTTCCGAAGAGCTTGTACCTCTTCGGACATTGTTTTAATGTCCGAGAACAAGGAGCGGCTCCTACAGAGGGACCTCTTGTCCTTTACCGTCAGTAGGTCCCTGTTTCACCATCTCTTTCCCGTCTCCTTAGAAAAGGGGGCTAGCCCTTAGTACCGTTCTTCGTGCTTTGGGGTGGTAGCTGGACTTTTCTATCTGCCAGGCTTTCTTCCCAGCACCAGCATGTGGGCGCGTGAACAACTATGGCTAGAGAAGAGCGCTCCTCCAGGGAGCCGCGACTTTGGGGGAGGGGGGAAGCAGAAAAGCTAGGAATGACTCCACAAAGCTCCTTTCCTGACAAAGATACATATATAATCAACGGCGCTTTTAAACTCTATTCTTGACAGCCTCCCCCCCCCCCTTTCCCTCCTCTTCCAAGCGACGCTGGGGCAGCCGCAGGGGGCGGGCGGGCGGAGAACCGGGAGAAGAGCATTCCTGTGGGTGCTGAATGGCTCCAGAGCTGCGCCACAAGGGCTGCCGAAAGAAGCCCAGACCGGAGAGAGCGAGAGCCCGCAACCTCCGCCTGCCTTGATCTCCACCCAGGAAATCCCCACCCCCCACCCGACACCCACTGGCGCATCCACCCAGAGCTCTTCGCGCGCTCCCGGGACGAGGCAAGCAAGGTCACGCGCTCTCCCGACGCTGCACGACTCTGCAGCTAGGAAAGTTCTCGGTTGGATCCGCTCGCCTCGCCTCGCCGCTCCCCCCCCCTCCCCCCTCCCGGCCACGTCGGGGCTATAGCTCCGTGCTTTTGGCAGGCGCGAGGGTAGAATGGGCTGCTCTGTCTCCGCGCTTGCGACGCCCTTAGGGGGACGCTATCTGACTCCCTTGGCTGTACCTGACTCAAATGGCTCGGAGCTTGGAGACCACTTTGCCTCGGCGCTTGCTTTCCCTCCCTCGCGCCAAGGAGCTCCCTCAGCCTTCCCCTTCCGCTGAAACCCCACTTCGAATGCCTTTTCAGTTATGGAAAAGGGGGCGAAGCGTTTCACCCCCACCCTATACACGGTAGAAAAACACAGGCCGTTACAACGACGATAGCGTTTCTAGGCAGACACGGCCACCCTCGGTAGGGGGTTTCCATCAGATTGCGGCCTTCTGCAAAGTTAGGTTGGGTTAACCATCTAACAGGAGTGCTGAATGGCAACTCCCATTGTTCCCAGCCACCGCGACCAAATAGGCTGCGGGTGTCGAGGTTCCACCCAGTTGGAGGCCTCCCTTCTCGGGTTTATTTGGGTTTATTTATTTAAAACCGCCAAAGTTCACGAATCCTAGGCCCACACTTTTTCTTCTGGGCTGGTATAGCGAGAGGAGGCAGGGTGACTGTCCAAAAGTGGCTTACAGTTTTATCACTTTGGAAAAGGACTGGTGAGCGGTAGCGAAGGTGCAAACCTCCTCCTTCTAGGCACCTAAGCCAGCGTTAATTCAATTGTGTGCTTCACGGGTCAGCCCCGAGGACAAAGGAGTGGGCATATGTGCACACGGGTGTGCGCACTCTGAGAAGCTGATTTGCGCAGTAGCAGACGCAGGAAGTGGTCTTCCTCATCTTCATCTTCCTCCTCCTTCTCATAGCCTGGCCGAGTTTAATATTAACACAGTCGTCTGCCAGAACTATCCTCCTGAGGTCTGATCCTCGCCCCAGACCGATTTTTTTTGAGCAAATAAATGCCAGTCGCGACGGCTTTCAATCAAAGGAAAACACACCTTTACTTTCTCCCTGCCGGAGGCCGATCCGTTTGGCAGAAGTCAATGTTCGTGCTCTGCCAGACGGTCCGCGGCGTTTTTTAGGGGGTGGGGGGTGGGGGGTGGGGTTCTTCATTGACTCAAAGGCAACGGAAGGTAGGAAGTAGGAAAAGCGACAGTGGAAGGATCCGTAGTCAGCACCCCGCTCCATCTCTCCTCTCCCAGGTGTGCTTTGCCAGCATTCCATCCAGGGCCATTTCTGGGCGCGCGCCCCTCCTCCCCCCGCCGCAGGTCAGGAATCCCAACTCTGCACCAGCGTTGCAGTCAGAATCCTTGCAGGCTCTCCTTGGGTAGCCTCCCGAGACGGCTCTTCCTTCCCCCCCCCCTCGTCTAAGCTAGAAGTGAAGCTCCAAGAGGTGGGGAGTCAGTCCTTAAGGAATGCAGGGATCTCAGTAGGAGCCGAATTTTGGTGCTCGCCAGCAACAACAAAAAAAATCAGATGAGCTCGCACAAATGCCACCCCACTACTTCTGGTTCAACGGCGGCCATTAGAGCCCCATAAGAGGTTGGAATAGGGGGAGGGGGCAGCGGTTGTGCTGGTTGCGAGAAAACATCAAACCGTTTGATCCCGGTGCAGATTCCTAGAGCACTCAGGCCTTGGCTCGGCAGCGCACACCATTTTCACTTATAAGACGATTTATGCTTGCAGCTAATCTAGGCTCGAATAAAGCTGGCACTGTTACCAGCCTACAAGTTGTAAGTTCCTTAGGTCTCGTTCTCTCTCGCTCCCCGTTAAGACTGGCCCCTCGCGGTTTTAGACTCTAGTGCTAAGGACCTAATCCAGTAATATCGCCTTCCTAGCAACCAGTTTAGGAAAAAGAAAGGCGACCTTCTTTTATTAATGTTCTTCCTTAAATATCCACATTATTAAGCCTTTGATTTCATGGAAGGCTTTTGCAAATCTAACTGGCTCAGGTTCTCGGTGTTGCATGTGAAAATATGTAAGTATGTAAACGCGGTGGTTAGATCAAGTACCTCCTTTTGATGGTTCGAAATAGTCTTTGCATTCCGCATTTACTCGGTGCCCCAGACAATAGAAGAAAACTCTAATCTTCAGCAAGCTGCTTTGTTTAATTAATTGCAATTAAGACCTTGCCCGGATAATTGCCCATTCGGCTCCTGAGGGTTCGTCCAATGAGATAATTTGCAGAAGGAAAACTGGTCTTTGGAACGTGGAGACTGAATCTCAAGGCCATTCTTTCTAAGGATAATACATCCCCCAGGCGAACAATAGGTACCACTGTTCCAATGCATGTATTTGCCTTAAATAAAACCGAATTCCTGGATTATCACGGTCTAATCCTAAATACTACTAGAGGGTCAGGCTGAGATCCACTTAGGTATGGAAATAAAGCCCCTTCTTGAAATTACGGTTTAGAGGTGTATCTGG